CTATTTGAACTATGTACTCTTCATATACAATAACTTATTATCGCATTAGAAATGTACTCTGGGTAACATTAATGGGCCAAATTCACCTTCTTTGCTTTCCATAGTGTTGCACCTGCATACAGCAAAGATGGTTTTGACACCTAGTCCTTCTTGATACATCAGTTGCAGTATCAGAGAATAACCACTGAATGTCAGACACTACACCATTTTCATCTAGAGTATTGGTTTGCTTACAGAAAGTAGTTTATTGCTTCTAATGACCAGAAGGTACCTTATGAAGACAGCTTAGAGATAACAGTTTTCATATGCTGTGTTATGGACCTTGAAACACTGAGGATGGCAGATCACAATCATGAAGTTATTTTTCTTCTTTATTTGCTGTTTGTGTTTTGGTTTGCTGAATGCACATGCAACTATTGATTTAACTGTGCCAGAAGTGATATGTCAAAAACATTTAGGAAAATTTACTGTTTTGTTTTACTGAAGTCAGGCATGAATGGCATGCAGTAGATTGCAAGGAAAACCAAAAAAGACATCCATTTTAAAAGGATATATCATTTCCATGCACATGTAAAATGCCTCTTACAAAAACCATTCATTTTTGTTAAAAGTGTGCCTTTTTGCTTCTTTTTATACAAGTGTACATGCAACTACGTGTCCCAGCTAAAACTATTTACAAAATTTCATAGTACAATACATCTTTTAAAGTGAATAATACATGAAAGGCCAATGTTTTCTGTTATTTTGTAACACTGTACAAGATTAAAAATAAGGCATTATAATACAGGTTTATCACAAATTAAAAAAAATGTTGGTTTTCACTGTAATACAAAACTCTAACTTGAAAGAATATTATGGCTAAATAGTCCTCCTGCCTGGGCAGAACATATACAGACTTGCTGATGTAAAGAAAATTATTTCTGCTACAAGCAGGAATCCAACACAGGAAAATGATTCATGCTACTTATTAATGTGTTGAGACTCTTCAAAGCGCTGAAATGGCACAGATCATATACTCTTTCCATTCAAATAGTGACACCCAACTACTTTATTCTGCCTGACAGATAAATTACAGGCAAGAGTGTGAAAGAGATTTCAGTGCATGACCTACTCTTGTTTACAGTGTTGTAAAATATTCAGTTCAGTATTGACATCATTGCTATAACCCAAGGCAAAACTTGGCCTCCAGAAGCTCAACTCCTGACCTTTACAAGCATACTGAACTGCAGGCCTTGTGGATACATAAGGGGATGCAGATTCAGCCCTAACAAGCTGAAGCTTCTGGCTCTCAGTCTTACCTAGGGAAAGCAAGGGAAAATTTGTGTTTGTTTGGTGAAGATAAGGGAGTGTCACTAGCCACAGGGCAAAGAGCTACAAAAAACTATGCATTTCACAGGCTGGGTAAAGTGGATTTTGAGTCAATGTAAATGGAATACGTTTGGAAATATCTAGCCAGTAAGCCAATGGAATGCCAGTTTGCAATCTCAGCAGAGAATATGAATTAAAAAACTGTTTGAAGATAAAGGTAATATAGGAATACTTAGAAATTAGGTCTCAAGACTAAAGATATCTGACACTTATATGTTTATATAAAGAATGAAAGACTTCTATTATTACTATTATCTGAAAGGGAAAGCATGCAAAATTGACATGAAATATTGTGCTTGCTATTGACAGACACTGACACGCCAAAATGGCGTAACTTTTTCTTAGAGCTTGTATCTGTTAATTGCTTCAAGCTAACAGCTGCACAAAACAGTGAACAGAAGTACAGGAGGTTATTCTGCCCACAAATCAACAAGTTACCATCCTCAGATGAACACTGGGGACTTTTGGTTGCTGTGGGGCAGACACCTTGACAGGGCTACAGCAAGGTTACCTAGGCAAAAGTCACAGCACTTGACCAGAAAATTAATATATGCAAGAGGGGAAATACAACTGCATGCAATAAGATGGACACAACACAAATCCCACAGAAATCTAGGGAAATCCTTCTGGTGATTTTCAGGGATATTGGAGTGAGCCACGTGCCCGCTTGGACATGGACAATTAGGACAATTGCCAATAAAAATTTTGCTTTCAGTCTTCTCTAATTTGGCAGACAATGGGCATTTTTGAGGTTTTCAGAAGTATTACTTCCATATATATTCCCCTCTTTCCATGTATAAAACTTATTAAACATGTCAAAGAATGCAGAAGAACAGAGGGATTAAATATGTCGTTTAAATCTGTCACACAAAAGCTGAAATTAAACAAATGTAGACAGAACAGGAAAATGCGGAAAAACTATATGAATAGGGAGGGAAAGCATAAAGATAAGAGCACAGCTTCATAATATCATGATTTCAGTGGACACTTAGCTTTCATTGTTGAAATGGCTGCTGAACCTGGCCAATTATTTTTAAATTCTATTTGACCAATTTGTGCCTTAGTTGAAGTTTCTTCATACATTTATATTGCTCAATCCAGGACTACAAAACAATATATCATTTTCCCATTGTAAAACCAGCAACAACATAATACAAATAGAAAAAAACATTAATGATAGGATATTGATGTTAATGATAATGAACTCAATGAGAGTGATGTTAACCTGGTCTATGGGAAGGTGTCCCTGCCTTTGGCAACAGGGTTGGAAGTACATGATCTTTAAGGTCCATTCCTGTCCAAAGCATTCTATAAATCTATGACTTAAAGTCTAGAAAACAACTCCAAATATACCATTATTGATTCTGTAAGCTAGGACGTACACACCAGATTGCCTGCAGTACCAAGAAGCCATCCTGGTCCACTCAACTGCTCTGGGAGGCAGAGACTTCCTCCAAAAGTACAAAATGAGAAGCTGTTGATGGACTGTGCCTGTCTGATCCTTTCCATTCAACAAGGAAAACATTCTTACAAAAGTAACATGCCTTATTTGGAAAAGAGGATCAGGCTTTGAAAATGTTTGGACCAATTCTAATTAATTATCACCTGCTAATAATTTAAAATATAAACATGAATAATCTAAATTTACCTTGCTGCATGATCTTCCACTGATATTATCAGACTGGGAATGGGTCTGGGAAGGAGAACAGTCACAAAAATACCAGCAGAGGGGACTATTCATTTGTGCTCACTGTCCACTTAGTAAAAGATCAAAGATGGCAAGATGCCTATATCTTGAGCCCAATAAAAAGAATAACAAATGAGTAACTTCACTGAAAGTTTTTGGGTGGGCCAATAGGTGTGTTTGGTCGATGTGTTCACATACTACCAGATCTACTTCCAGGATCAGAAGGTGCTTTTATTTCATTATTATCAGTGAAATTATACCAAATTAATTGAATTCAAAAATTGTGTAGCATGGACTGTCTGAAAGAGGAACTAAGTGATTAATGCTATTACACATAATGTTTTCCAACTTGGTTAAATATTTAGCTTACCCATGTGATTATTTAGTTCTTATAAGTCTGTTAGAGAACATAAACGTAAAGTGTGCTTTACATGAATACCACTTACTCAGTTTATTTATGTAAATATTTATTCTTTTAAATCGGTATTCCCTATGTGTATTTTTTAAAAATTATTTGAAAGTCTCAAAACCAAAAATAAATTATTCTAGAAGAATATCTGTGAACTGGGTAGCTAAAGAAATGCAGTGACTTTCTTCAGCTCAATCAGGGTGCATATTACCTGTATAGTACAATTAAGAAGCAGTTCTCAGGTTTTTATAGTCACTTTAATCATAAGACTAACTTTGCCAGCTTTGTAATGAAGCATCCAGCAGACAGGGAACATAAAAATTAATTTAAAACTCTGCTGAAAAACACTGGAGTCTCAGAGTATCCTGAGTGGAGAACACAAAATCCTGCAACATTTCTTTAACCATTTGCATCTGCTGACACAGTGCTATGATATACTTTTAGCACAAAAAATTACTGCTCCAAAGCAAAAGCTGATTAGAGGGGACCCTCTCAGAACATTCTTTCCACTGAAATCTGTTACAAAATAGGCACACCAAAGGGAAGCGTGAAACCTACTGCATGAAAATTTTCTATTGTACAATCTACAACTTCTGCACTCTGGAGTGAGATTTTTAGTTTTGTGGGTTGTTTTTGTTGGTTTTTGTTGGGTTTTTTTGGCTTTTGCTTTTGTTGTTGTTTTTTGATCTTGTTGGGGTTCTTTTGGGGGGTGTGGATTCTTTTGCTTGTTAAAAGGAAGTTTTGCATGTTTTTAGGCAATGTAAAGTTTTACTTCTTTTTCGGAAAGCAGACGATGTTAGCTAGCCTGTGAATCCCCATTAGGACAATATGGCACATGTCTATGGAGTACATGTCCCTCAGCAGGATGACCTTCAACTGCTGTCACCTCAACTATGGAGTTGCCCTCTATATTTCACATCCAGATCATCACTTCAGTATGAAACCATAAGCAAAATGCTGTGGGCAGCAGTAGAGAAAAAAGCAGCCACAATATTTTCCTTTTTATGCAGATTAAGAGGAGGCTCACTCTCCTGGCACATTTACCATTTCTCCTCATTTGGCAAAGTTTGACTGTGCTTGTTTCTCAGATTAAAGCTTTCTATAATTGTACAGCTTTGAAGAGTGAGTCTGGCATAAATTTATGCCAGAGTGAGTGTGGCATAAATTTAAAAGTCAATTAATATATAAAACTATGTTGGCAAACATACAAATGTCACAAAACTAGCAGCAGTATGTTTGCCACCAGCACAGGACTGTTCCTTGAGCTGTTTAGAATGGTAAATCCTGGACTTGAGCCACAGGACTTGTGCTATTTCTAAAAGCCTGAAATAATACCATCCTTCTGCTCCTCAGTAAAATCAGCACTGTACATACAGGAATGTTTCTATATTGCAGAAGCATATTGCTGTGCTTGCTGTGTGGCTCCTCGGTCTTGTGCAGAGTCAAATGACATACAAAGAGGCAGCAAATTCTATGCTCTACCACTCTTGTATTTTTTTAAATGGAAAGAATGGTTCTTAAGCTCTGTGATTTATATACTTTATATCCTAGTGTAATGATTTGATTGAAAGTTTTTGGAAGTTTTTGGAGCATGCAAGGAGAACTAAAAAAAAAAAAAGATTAGGGTTCTGTAATCAACTTAATCCAGTCTTCATTAATCTGCCATTGACGGCACAACAAACACTGTTCTCATTGAATTAATTTGTACACTGGGAGCACAGTTTCTCAGAGTCTTACTGTAGCCCTGGAAAGTCTCCAGGTGTTTCACATTCCATGGTTAAATGCAGCTTTGCTAATCCTAGAACCAACAATTCTTACTATGACAGAAAGAGAAATCTCTTTGCTATGTCTCTGCAGGTGGATGTGTAAATAAATACACATTTTTATGTCCATCTCTATAAATTTCTATTAAGTCTACACAGAACTGTTTGTATGTGTGCATATATGGATTAAAACATATATATACACACACATAAATAATTGCTTGCACATTTTTCTGTTTTCATCTACTGTTCAAATATACCAAGAAAATATGCCTCATTTCCAGAAAATCCCATTTTGACTTTTCATAACAGAATTGCTAGCCCTTATATGTTCCATCCCAAGAGTTCATTACACAGTCCCCAAGTTCTCTTTGGTTGGGCTGTAGTGGTCCTTGGTTAATGGCATGGCCTATGACCTCTGACTTCTTAGTAAAAATTCAGGCAACCATTGCTCTCTAAGTTCACTGCAAGTGGCACAACCAAATCTCCTTTGTTCTATGCCTCCTTCACAGCTGGCACAGAAGGAAGATAATGCAGTGTTTGGTTTGTTTGAGTGGCAGATGCTTGACCTGCTCCAAGACCAGGTTTTACAGTAAAGCTAGTAACTGAGGACACCGATGGACAGCTGGTGCCCAGTTTTGTTTGAATGTTTGCTCTCTCATAAGGATACATTTTCCGCTCTAAGTTTAATGACCGTGTTTGGGAATTATTTCCATCAGCCTTTCCTTCCAGGAAATAGGTCAACATTTCACCTTTTCCCTTTACACTAACTTTACCCCTGCACACGAATTCATAACTGCATCTTTTTAATATCCGCTGAACTTCTTCTGTCACCTAAAGACAGGAAAAAAAAAACAAGCCTGTTACTTTTTTCTGTTCATGTAATCGCCCACCCCTCTCCATTTTACTTCTTAGACATGAAATATGCATAAACAGAATGGACTTTCACCTACACCCGCTCTCAGGCTCACTTAGAATTTTCTTTAAGAAGTAAAGATCACTGATAAAACTGGAATCTGAAAAGCAGAGTTTCTGGTCTTGAGTTATATAAATACACAGACAGATTAAGCTCCATCCAACAGAGATATGTAACTAAATTGTAAGCTGTATCAGTTCTAGTGATGTTGATTTATTGCAGAAGACCTTTTTATCCCTGGAGATTTGACAGATAAATTGGATAAGGTACTGCAGGTGTTCATTGAACTTTTGAGAGGAACACCATAGGTTCTAGTAGTAGAATAACAATATTCTCTGTCTGCATCACCTCTCCAATCCAAAGTATCGGAGCGATTTTTAGAGCTACATAAAATGTGTTAAGATGCAAATTAGCATAGATCCTTTCCTTGTAGGTCTTATTTAGGCAAAAGTTCTACAGCACAAAGACCGGCACTGTTTACATTCCCAGGCTTACCTTCAACTGTGTGCAATGAAGCAGAGAACTCTTGTTTCTTTTGATGGGAAATTATTTATTTGAGGATTTCATTTTCTCTAAGGAGTGAAGTGTATAAGATGGAAAACAACTATGGTTGTTTGACCTCCAATGATGAGTCATCTGGAGAGAGTTGCCCTCTCCATAAGAACAAAGAGAGGCTGCATTTTCTTAGTCTTCTTGAAAATGTAACCACATATAAAACAGGAAGTATGTCAAGTTTGCAAAATTGTTTTAGAATGCACTTACCTGAATCTTTCCCTGCACTCCAGTACTATCCATCCGGCTGGCAACATTCACAGTGTTCCCCCAGATATCATATTGTGGTCTTCTGGCTCCAATGACTCCCGCCACTACTGGCCCAACATTAATACCTAAAATTAAACAACAAGTTTGGTTTTCACGACAGCATATTATCAAAAGGAAACACGAATTCTGCAAAACAGATTTGACACAAGTGTCTTAGCTTTTTTTTTTTTTTTTTTTTTGGTAATACAGTAATATATGTTAACATCATAAAGCTGAGTCAAGGCAAGTTTAGGTTAGGTGTCAGGAAAAGGTTTTTCACCTAAAGGGGGACTGAGCACTGGAACAAGGTCTCCAGGGAAATGATCACAGCAACAAGTTGAAGCATTTGGACAATGCTCTCAGGTACATGTTGTGACTTTTTGACTGCCCTGTGCAGGGCCAGGAGTTGGGTTTGATGACCCTGATGGCTCCCTTACTTGATGATCCCTTAGCATATTCATGATTCTGTGAATAAATTAATGCCAAGTGGATTCTGCATTTGTAAAAGTCTTAGAAACATAACAAAGACATTCCTTGGGATATCTTATTGGAAATGTAATGTGATCGACAACATAAAAATTTGATTTTTCTGTGGATTTTTTAAAAATCCAATGTTTGTTTAAAGAAAAGAAAAAAAGCAGTGGTAGTGCAGAGTTTAGCTGAAAATGGGACAAACTGTAAAAGATTTTTAATTGTTTCCTATAACTTCCACTGCAGTTGCATATGTAAAGCCTTTTAATGGAGGTTTTAATGGAGGTTCTCCAAGTGGAACAGAAATAATGGTCTGGAATACACAAAGATTGGGGTAAGGGAAGTGTGTCAAGTTGGTTGTTAGTACTAGACAAGTCAGATCCCAGAGACAGTAGAAGACAAAAGTATATGAAAATGGCTCAAGCATATTCTTTTGGAAACTGCAGAGCTCAATTCTACATTTCTGACCGATTTCAGCATCTTGTTTGGAAGATAAAAGGGGATGTTCCTTCTGAGTGCCCTGAAGAGTTGAAGATACAAAACCCTGCATGACATTCTGTGCAAGGGCTTTTCTAGGCAATTTATGCAGAAGAATGAGGGTTAGATATTTGATCCTTTGCGAACCTGGAAAAACAAGTTATAACAGAGTTCAAAGAGAATTTGGGGTTTATAATTATTAAGATGTACAGGAGGTCAAAGATGTATAACTCTTCTGTTGCTGCCTTTGATGTCTTTGGTCTTTCTGCTGCTAGCAACCTCAGTTTTCCTGTAGCCCAGGTCATTCTCACAAGTCAGCCAATGAAAATATATAGAGAAAGAAGCTGGAGAAAACTATCAGCATTAGAATATGCAATAAAATGAGAACAGCAGTAGAAGTATCACTGCAGAGGAGCAAGATACATGAAGAAAGGGAAGCAGGGAACTTGATCTCTAAGAAGGCTGAGAGAAATTAGTGGTAAGACATAACATGTAAAGGATTGCATGGGAAGGGTTGTGTTGTGCTGACCAGAGGATTTGATTTGTTGGAGAAAACAGGACTGGTTAAGATGATTTGGTGTCTGTGGAGAAAAAGCTCCCATTGCACTTTTAATGCCAACAAAGCTTTTGCAGATGCAACTTAGTGTAATACAGTAAGACCCAATTTTCAGCAGTTTAGCAATGTTCCCTCAGCAGTGTTAATTTGCAACTCTAAAGCCCTTTGGCTCTGGACAAACCTGTTTAAGTATTTTTTCAGTGTTTGGGGTAGATTCTTCTGGGCATTCAATTCTCACTCTTCCCAGAGGCAAGTATTGTTCCATCCTCCAAGTGTAAGCCACAGGATTGGGTACACTCTTAATATTGTAGAAAATTAATGGTGTACTTTTGTTTTAGGGGTCCATGGATTAAGTAAGCATACTGGAATTGGAGGTAATTACAATTCCTTACTATAATTCACATCATCCAGACTGCTGACCTTTTACATGGATGTGACTCTGTCATTAATGGAGAATTTTCAGTTTTAATCATGACTGCAGGACAAGTAATCCTTTGCTGACAGCACAGGAAAGGCCAACAAAAAACAATCTTCTGCTTGTGTGATAATTGTAGAGCATGACTTACCAACTCGTAGGACAAAGTCATTGTAAGACTGATAGTTGATTTCATCAAGAACGTCAAACATCTCTATTGCAAAATCTGCCAGTGTACTCAGATGGGAATAAATTGATTTTTTAGCCTAGAAACAAAATAGTGTTGCATGTTAGATTTGTATGGTACTGAGATGCAGGTTAAATACTAAAGTGAAAAATAATGAGAAGCTCAAACAGCTGTCTTAGGAAAAGAATCTAACCAATTTTTTTTGTTTGTGAAGGGAAACTTTCGATGGTAGCTGCAGCAAATGCATTCTTTTCTTCTGCTATTTTTTTTTCTTCTCTCTCTCCTTTTCATTTCTGGGAAGAATGGAAAGCAAAGTTCCCATGGTAAAGTGGTTCTGTTGCTAGAGAGCTGCAGATGTTTGTTTTGAGTGTGGCAGGGAATATAACCTGCTTTCTTAAAAAACTACTTTGCCTGATGATTATTAATAACTACAGTTTCTGCCCTCTTCTCCCTTTGGGCTTTTGCTAGCTCCCAGCTTCCATGGGGTGCATGCTGTTCCCATTGACAAAATTCCTGTTAGGTTGAATCCTGTGAGGTGCAGAACACCCCTGTGTTTTGCCTTTTCAGGCAAGTTGAAGGGCACTGTTATCAAATGTATCTAAATGAACTAATGTTTTTTGACCAAAAGGGATCAAATGAAATGGTGAAGTATTAACTTGTAAATAAAACCCCAAACATAAGAAAATAATTTTTACAAATCCCGTCTTATTAAACTGTGCAGCTAATTTTCAGAGGATATTGTAGGTTCCAAAACTTAGCAAGATTCTAACATAATTCTAAAGATCATGAAAGAAATATTTGCGACAAAGTAGTAAAAATCTAAGCAGCATATTATTAGAAAGTGAAAAAGAGAGGTTTGTATATTTATTTTATAACTCATGTTCTCTCCCCAGGATCTAACCTTGGTTAATTAAAGACAGGTTACCAGAATAAACCTTTGATTCAAGTCAGTATCACTGCTCTTATGCTCTGCTCTTATTTGAATAAGAAATATGAATTTTTAAACAAACTTGAAAAGTGAAAGTGGGCTAAAGGTAGGATATGGTGAAAGAAATGCAAGGTCAGTGGCAGCTTCCCTAGGGTCTTACACAACAGGACTGTGCAAGCTGGCATGAGATGAAAGCATGCTGATTTTTTGCCATGATAGTGAGATTTTATAAATGCAGAGCTAAACAATGGCTGAAAAAACTGAGAAACAGATTGCTATTTCCTTCATTCACCTCAGTTTGAATGGGTTGCTTTATGTGGCTAGGAAATTTACAAAAAAAATTATGAAAGTCATCCTTGTGCCAGTCCCAACTTTTGGGAAGGATAAAGGCTATTTTCATTTACTTGCCTGGATGTCTGGAATTCTGCTTCTTTCAATGTGAACTAGCTAGTTCTACTCTTTTCAGAATCACCAACACAAAGGAAGAACAAGAATTAAGCTTAAAGAGCTAATGGATATATTTCCAACAGAGAAGGATAAAATATTCAATGTCGGGAGTAGGGAGAGAGCAGTGCATAATTTTATTTTATTTCTAATCTTCTTTATGTTTCCTCTCTTCCATTTATTTGCTGTCTGATGAATGTTCTGTTTTCCTGCAATGCCCTTCAGAGTTGCAGGAGAAAGGACTGTTGACAAATACTGAGTGCACTGCAGGTGACAGATGCCTCTCAATAGAATTAGGACCAAAGTCTTGAACCTGCACTGAAGAACACAAAGTTAGGACCCTGGTGAAGTCAGGATCCTGGTGAAAAAGAGATAAAATGAATTTATATTATGCAAAAGATCTACAAAGAGTTTGGTTTCTATGCTGCCCTGTTGATAGAACAAGCAATTATTTATTTAAACATCAGAGTAGTTACTGGAAAGACTGCCTAGAGCATCACAGCAAAGTCACCTGCAATAGAGGCAATAAGCCTTTACTGTAGTCACCTGCTGAAGTCAAGGTGCAGAAACAGGAATCCAGTAAAATATGAGATTTAAATATTTAACTTTGTCAGGTTGCTGGGCTCTTAAGAGTACAAATATCCTCAGTTAAGAGCACAATTAACCCCATCTACTGCTTTCTCTTCATGTCCAAATCCTAGTATGAAGTTAGTGATCCAAAATCAGAGGCTGTGCCAGATTATCTGTTGAACCAGGAACACTCCTGGCAGAGGACAGACCAGAGGCACTTGAGCGTCTTACGGTTCCCCATTGACACATATGACTCCGTAGGACAGCCCAGGTACTGTGTGAAGCTGCCAGTGATTGTCTGTCCATGACAGACCAGCCAAGATTATCAGACTTCTAATATACTGGTGTATGCTGAAGAACTGGGAAACTGGCAAGAGGATGTGAGTAATTTCTATTCATTTGCATCACATGAACAGTAAGGAGAGATCACAGAAGAGCCGAAACCCTAAGTTAAAGTTAAAATTATTGTCTGCTTCATATGACAGACAATTTTTCTGCAACACAGAATTTTTAATAAATTCTACATATATAGAAAAAAAATCAATAGTTGCCCAAGATTTAAAAGGAAGGCAGTTCTGTACAAGATCTTCTGCAGTGATTTAAAATGCATTACTATAATAATCTCAGAACAGTATCTTCAGTACTGGACTTACTCAGCTGACCCTTCACTCAACAACTATAAAATACAAGAGAAAAACATGTTTAGGTTTTGGAACATATGCTGCCAAAGTTACCCAATAACACACTTGTTTTGAGGATTATAGTTCAAAGAGCATTTATAGCAGACACAAAAGTACGTTACTGCCTGTTTGCCTCAGATCACACACTGAAAACATTCTAAAGATCAGTGTTTTTTTGCTGTCTCAGAACACATGAGTCTAACATTTTAGGATAAACAGATTTTTAAAAATACCTCTTTTTTTTGGTAATGTATAGATTTCTAGGAATGATACAAAGGAAGGCATCAGCCGGAAATACTTTGCAGACCAGAATTTTAGTTGTGTGATATACTCCAGATGATTCTAACTATTGATTGAAATGTGGTCTTGTTTTTTATTTACTTAGCAGGGATAGTTGGTGCTAAAAAGTCCACAGGACTTCTTCTGGTTTTTTTTTTTTTGCTTTTGCCTTGTAATTTTATATTATTTTGCAATGCTAAACCACATGAACTAATGTATTCAACATATGTCTACAACATATCTACATGCATATCAGAACAAGGGAGAAGTGTCTGAAAACTCTGAGCAGATGAGATTAATGGATTGCTTTAATTTTCAGACTATTCTTATATTATTAATTTTATAAAATTTTTATGATTTAGTTTTATTAGTGTAATTACTAACATGCATAGTACTCTGTATCCTATGCATTTTATATGATGCCCAAAATTTTTTCTCACTTTCCAAATGCTGCTTGGAAATCTGGGAAATTTCTGTTACAAGATAGTAACTTAATGTAAGAATAATATTATTAGAGGTAGTGATGAGGACACAGAAGAACTGTGACACAGAGTTAATGGGTTTGAAATGACTTCGCCTTTTTTTATCGCTGAGTAATTAAAGCAGTAAATAGAATGCTCATGGTAGAGATGAAGAATAGCTGATTTGGAGAGACCAGGTGCAGTGCAGCACTGTACCTAGCACAAAGTCCCTGTCCATGATGGGGGTTGGGAGAGGATGTTTATTTTAGTTGTAGATTACATTCAAATTTCAAAATTAAAAATCTATATAAAAACTGCATTTTAACAGTCTTCTGCTGGTTTTGCAGCAATTCACTACACCTAGAGTCTACCTTTTCCTGCATCTAATAAGGACATCTAAGATATCAGGTTTAAAACACTACCACTGTTTTAGAGGCTTTAAGGCACCAGCTTGCAGGGAATTCTAAGCTGCAGACAATGAAATCACAAGAGAAGCCACATAAGCAAGTATGACAGTTTTCCTTTTCTGGCTCCAGCTGTTCTTTGAAATTCAGGTTCAAAATGTTGTAAAGAAGTCATAAAAGTTATCAGTAATCTCACAGAATTAGTTGTGTTTTTGATGTTCCTCTGGAAATTGAAGGCAAATGGTTTCTTCACATAAGACTGGCATATAAAATCTTCTTACCTTAGTTCCTGAAGTAGGTACGAGTCCCACAGCTGCCATATAAGTACTTCCAATTGTCTTGATCTTTTCAATATCCTTATAATATTCTTTGTCCATAAGCTTTGTTTAAAACATAAAACTGTTAAATATTACATAATATTTTAGACAAGCAACCATAGTTATCAGATAGTATGTGCAAATTTATATCATATTTGCTAAGTTGAGTCTTGCCCTCTTTGAGGTCAATGAAAAAAAATGCCATTAACTTTTATTTTTGATACGCTTCTTTATAAGCAAAATTTTAGGTCAGAGTCATGTGCCTAAAAGTACAAATTTGGTACTTTAGAGAAGCCCAGTGGACACAAACTATGATTAAATAGGAAGCTTATAGTACTGTTTTATTAAACATTTTAAGACACACTAATTTACTTCAGATAATCTCATTGATAGTTATTTGGTAGAACTGGTATGGTCAAAAGACAAAGAGTTTAGACCTTCTTACCTCATCAAAATCAGCAATAATTTCATTTAACAGGCGTAAACATTCCACTCCCATATTATTGCCATCCAATTCGATGTAGAAATCATTGAAATTTGGGATGGAAGCAAACATCACTCCCACTTGTGAATATGACTGGTAATAAAGGTCCTGTAGTTCATAAGCAGATGTAATGTCTATTTTAAAATATTAATCTAAACAAAACATCATTATTACGTTATTTATTCTAATGCTAAGCAATAGCTAGGACAAGGCCATCAGTTTTTCTAAAGAGAAAACCAGACTTCTTAAAATAATGTTGAAAGGTATCTTCACTTAAGACCACAATATAAAATTAACACCCAAGGTATTAAAGCAATTTAAAACAACTTAGGGATTTTTTTTCTGTTTAGACATAGAAGCAGCGAGCCAAAATTTGGACAAAGTTGTAAGAATTATAGAGCTTCTATTGTACGAGAAAAATAATTACGTTTTCTCAATCTTGTTTTATAAGCAAAATAAGAGATGGACCAATTTTATCCTGTGGTACATAACTGGCCTCACTCCTTCAAGTCTTTCCATGTGTTGTGGAGTCTTATATAATATAATGCTGTTCTGTATGGTGATGTTTCTGCTTAAAAATTTGGAAGGCTCAAAGAAGGCAAAATCACTCTTCTGAGTTTCAAATACTTAGAGCCAAACTCTCAAGAACAGTATCATGGATATTACAGCTACTCCAGTGCTGAAGGTTTTCAGATGACCAGAAGGACTCTCATAAGGCCTCCTTGAACCAACTTATTTAGTCACTGCAGCCTTTTATGTTAATCTGTGTCTTCCTTAAGTATGTACAATTCTCTGTTTTTAACTTTAAATAGATGGTTTTGGTAATGGTGGCATACTTTCCAGAACTAGAGTGGTTAACACATGTCTGGAAGTTCATACACTTCACCATTCAGAACCAAACTGAGCACATGCAACACTGTGATAAATTCCAATATTCTTCATTGATTGGAAAATGAAAACAAAAAATGATTTAAGTGCAGGTATTTGGTTACATTGATGTTGAATGACAACTTTCCCTTATCCTGAATGTTATTAAAATTCTTCAGAGAAGGAGGACAATGCAGCAGAAGAAATAATCTCAAACTAATTCTTGAATGCAATTTTTTTACAAAGCTACTATTTTTACATGAGCAAAGTTTTTTCCAAGCCTTTCTTGAAAACACATAGGTATAAGGTGGCCCAAGGAGCACAGGCCCATACAGCATGTATTTAAATTTTATCTTGAATTACCATATTTCTTGGATTAGACATAAGAAAATGCTGTGCAACATGGGCTGGCAATAGGTTGAAAAGAATTCTTTTATTATCCAGCTTGACTCTCTCCATATCATCTCTCTCTTCTTCTGCCTGTTGGAATAGAGGAAAAGAAAAACCTTTAAAAAAACCCCAAAACTTAGCTAAGCCTATCAAATAGCTTATATTAATTCATCCTTTGGAACGAAAATGAACAAAATGTACAGTAGCAATGTAGATTGAGAACAATTCTCCTGTACCATGCTTCCACATTAAGCAAAATCCCCTTAAATTCTAAGTAATTCAAGCTAAAGTCTCTCAAAGTTCAAAAAGCGTATCAAAAAGCCGTTTTCAGGGTTTGATCAGCTAAGTGTATTGGTATCTTCTGTAGTTCTCTGTTCTTTTAAATAGAAACTTTATATGTTTACAAAGTAAGCCAGAATAATCCCACTTAAATCACATTGGCCTTGGGGGCCAATTACTTCCCAGGTAGTTCAATACAGTGCAGCAGTATTTGATCCATCTTTCAGACAAAAGAAGCCAGCGAGACTCTCCAGTGTTTAAAGCAAACCTATGTACTTTGCAGTAAAATTGAAACAAATCTGATAAGACTATAGATTCAACTGAGAAAAAGATTTTAAAATTGAGCATCCTTAAGAATGATGTACAATTTCAAAAAAGTCATATAAAAGTAGTTAATATTTCTAGAGATTGTTTATGTTGGTGTTTGTCATGAAAACATATATAGTTTCTTCACAACAGAAATTCTGTTACTGATGTGAATGACAGGATTCAGAAAGAGTGCTTAGGAGTTAACACATCTGAGGTCCCTAACCCAAGATACTGGCATCTTACTACAAGTGCTTGACTCACAGAGTTAGTGTGAGTCATATAGTAGGAAATTATTTTAAAAATAAGACCCCTTATTTGAAAAAATATTGAATATCTAGGAATCTCATTTGGGACTCCTATGTTTGCAAATTCCAGCCTAGTCTTTTGTAGATTCATGTGCAAAATTACTTTACTGGAATTTGCTCCTTGTTCTTAGAGTGACTTTTGGCTTCACACTGATTTCAATTAGAAAACACTTGATCAGTATCATATTCATCTCACAGAAATCACAGCTTATTCTTTGTTCCTCAGTCACACACACAAATAATCTACTCTGATCCCAATGTGATTTTGTTTATCTAATTACAGTCAGTAGAAGATTGGAAAACCAAATTCTCAAATACTGTTGAGAAACCTCAGTCACATAAATCATTGATGAACCTGTTCTAATCTTTCTTGGTGTCCCATTTATGTGGGCAACTTGGCATCCTGATCTATGACAATGTCCACATAATTTCTCAGTATCCATTCCTGTTTAAGTAGGAGAAAACCAGTCACCTCTTGCTTTTGTATAGTCTAAATACATTATTCATGTGATTTTTTTCCCAGGTAGACAAGTTTTGTTTTCCATGACAAAACTTAGGAAACCATGTTTTTATTCAGATTACACAGTCTGTTTGGCCTGCAGTTTATTCTGCATTTTAATATTTCTTTACAAGTAGAAAGAATTCTGAAAGAGAACTGATTTCATAAACATAAATTCTCCAGGAATTTAAATAAGTTCTCAGCTCCTGCTCTAATTTGGGTAATAAGAAATGAACCTATTCTAGAGGTGAAATATCAGTAAACTTTAAATAGCAATTAATTTTGCAAGAAATATACCTGAAGCTTTTATTCTATATATTTCCTGTTTGTGAGCTGTTTTCTTGACACTTATTTCACTGTTTAAATGTCACATGTTCTTTTCTTAAAATATCCTTCCCCTATTTTTGTGGTATAACTCTGACTTACTGTTTTCTATAAACATGTGAAATGGCCTCTGGCATTTAGTCTGACTGTTGGAATTTAAATGTTTTAACAGGAAAAGAAAAAAGATTCTTCAACTGAAAATACAAACCAAGCTTGCAGCTCCATTTTGCATCACACTGGAATGAGGAAAATTTTATTCTGACAACAGCAAATAGATTTGTGAACTGAACTGATCTTAATAAAATATCCATTCTGGTCTTCCTTATCCATTCCTCTATTTTTTGAACAAGAAATTTTGTTGTTGCATTCTTCCTAAGAATGTTAAGGTTCTCAGTTAACCCATAAAATATGGGGCAGAATACCTTCCTAAAGAACAATACTCTTTTGTGTCAAGGTGTGGAGATTTCTGGAATAATCAAAGGAATCAAGTAGGGGTAGGTAAGTGGAGTAATCAGTTTGATGCATTGTAGGGGTAGTGATGTTAATCACTGGCAGCAGTTGTTCATTTCTGATGTGGCAATGTGTGGTCAAATTCATCTGCCTTGCCAAGCTGTGGGCCAAACTGCTCATTTTGGAAGAAATTTTTGAAAAGATTCTCCAATACATCCATCATTATGTACGTAAAAGTTTCAGAGCAAACAACACCTGTGACTAAGTAGTACAGAACTGAGTTCTTGAGTGAAGAGCTAATGGCTCAAATCTATCAGAGTCATGTCTGAGGTGGTGGCAAAATCATCTAAGTCCATGGAAAGGCATTAATGATGTCACCGTTGCTAATGATAGAATGCTACATTTCAACACACCTGACAAGTGTCTCGTCCGTTTTTGGATGCAAAACTGTTAACTACAATTTTAGATCTAGGTTCAGTTTAGGTTTCAGTTGCCAAAAATGAGATTGTGGGAAAAAGACTGGAGCTAAAATTAAAGATAAGAGTATGGAAAATATAGGGGTTGCTACTCCCCAGATGGAACACAGCACACCCAAATTTCCACACACAGTACAATCTAGGGGGAAGTAAATGGAGAGTGGAGTGGAGTGGAGTGGAGTGGAGTGGAGTGGAGTGGAGTGGAGTGGAGTGGAGTGGAGTGGAGACACTGCAGCCAAGCTCTGTTGAAACCCTTGGAGAAGAGGGTACTTGGTGGTTCTTTTTAGTTGATAAGCCACGTAGGAGCTGGAGGCTTAGGGAGATAAATGAAGAAGTCCTGCTAGTGAATTAGCAGCTATGGCAAAATTATCCTCCTTGGATTGACACATATCCCCATCCCAAGGTTATCTCAGATACTACACTGATGTTACCTGCCTCCAAGGCATGACCACCCCTCACTGGGTAATATGTATTACTAATGACACTCAGGCTTTACATAAATGTAAAAGAAGAATTAAGAAAGGAGAGAAGACTCCATCATAACTGCTGGGATTAGCTGGTAGGCTGAACCTCTCTTCTCCCCATATGGACACCTATGGGGTAAGAAGTGTACTCTATGCACGCTGAATTATTATCTCTAGTGAGCTCTCACTGGGGATTAGAGCTTGTCTGTACATTGCTTTGAATACATTTTTGCAGTCAGATACTGTCAACAGCAATCCTAAAACATTAAGCTCTTGCTACTGTTTTTTGTTAATAAAGAGTGTTATCTGCAAACTGTTAATGTGGATTCTTCAAGGATGCTAGCAGTCAATGGCAGTGGGTTAAGGTGTGGAGACACATAAGGAGGTCTCTCTTTTGGCATGTGACCCTGAACAAACCAGTTGAACTGCACTCTGATCTAGCAGACCAGTCTGTGAAGGGTCCCCATAGCCGGAGGTGCTGCCAGACTGCTTGAGCAACAGGATCTCAGCTTTCCTGAGTCATGGTCAGACTAATCAAACACTAAGGGTTTGAGAAAATCTTCATTTTCACATGAAAAACCCCTAACATCATGGAAAGTCATTGACTAATATAATGATGATTCTGTGATTCATAGTGGGTAATGAAAGGAAACCCAAAACAGGGGCAAAATATGCAAACAGCAGAACAAGGGGAGTGGTCTTACTTTTTTGTTCCTTGAACTATTTGAGGCCAAGCACCTCCTAACTAAAAGAGAGAGAGAGGGGTGCACTCTTTCCATGTGTTCTGGGAGAAATTTGTTCTGATAATGCTCAGGTGGGGCAATGCAGTGCCCTGAAAACTAAGGTGTGTTAGTGCTGCCTGATCTAGTCCCAGAGCTAGAAGCAAAAAATTCATGGAATTAGCATAGCATTCCTTCTGAGTTACTTTCTCATGCTGCAAAGCAAAGGGATATTATCTTAGACCATGCACTGGGTCAATACTGCTGTATTATTTCTGGTACCCAAGATGGAATCTCTGCATGGACTGCACTTAAATCATCCACACACCATGCCTAACATCCTGCTTTATTATTGAAGTAATCTGTTAGGAATATGAACTGAAGTGTACTTCCTCTGCTACTACTGCACAGAGCTTGAGTATCTATCTTCTTGCCTTGCACTGCCTAAGACGGCTCTCATTTATTCATTTCCTCAGGAGCTGGTTGGGGAAAGAGGAAATATCTCCTTTCATGTCTCACAAGGGAAGATAAAGGAGGAAAGGTGAAGTAAAAAAAAAAACCTGGTCATGTCCAACAGTGAGGACTCTATCCCATCACAGAGATAATACAGGAGGGAAGTAAGCCAATTACTGGTATTTTCTGGACCCTTTTCCAGCTTCCTCCTTTCTGCGTTTCAGGGAAGTGCAAAGAAAACTATCCTTCCTCCTTGTGACTCATGAGCTTCTGATGCCTACTCTTGAGCAGCTGAGATTAAAGGATGCATAGGCATCATTCTTTCTCAGGAAAAACAGACACTGGGAAGGGAGAAGGAGTACTTGGGGCTGAAAGATTAAAATAGCACAGATCACAGGTATTTACATTCCTGGCAGAAATATTATCCAAACATCTAAATGGCATTTAAACCTTCATCTATTTGACCCTATTCCCACTGGTTAGTTAAGGAAAGCTGCCAGCATTATATTTATGCAATAGCTGCTAGCTCAAAAAACAAGACAGATTATTGTGAAAAGAAACAAGAAAGAAAGTGCATTGGCATGACCAATATAATTTTTCACATTCTGCTATTTGCTTACATCTGTTTGGTATTTGTGGCAGCTAGGTCATTTTGTGGAACCCAACTGTATTTGCAGAGCTGCAGTATTTAATAGCAGGCTTTATTTTTGCACTGGACATGGTGACAAAATTTAAAATGTTTTTATTACTATGACTTTTTATATCAATCTAACTAACACCTACTGCATTTTACATGATCCTACAGTTTTTACAATCTTGCTAAGTGGTTACCCATCCTCTGTCTAGGAAGTGGTCTGAACAGTTTTATCACTTGACAGTTTGATATGCCTAAAAATGCTGTAGAATAGTCACTGACTAAATAGAAACCACATGACAATACAGTTTCAAGATTCAGTTAAAAAGAAGCTGGGCACCAGTGCCATGGGGATCTCACTTTTTGCACCTGAAGATGGCACTACATCCACAGGGAACAAACACATCACACTGCTTTTGTAGTGCCAGGTTTTTGAGTGGAAGTCCTAAGACGCCTGGCAAGTTTTGCCTGTAGGTTGTAAAATTCTTATTTCTTACAAGTGTAATGGGCTAGAAAAGACAGCAGAATTATATTCTAGTATTCCCTAAAGAATGCACCAATTGAGTGCATCAAATGAAGTAATATAATTGTATTATTCTTGTTTTCCTCCAGTGGCAAATCCTGTGTGAGTGAGCAGCTACATTTTTTGGTAGTTTTAGGATCTTCCTGAATATATGACTGGTATTTATTTGTCCAGTCTTTTTTTCCCCTCCCTGTTCTGTTAAATAATTTGCATAATCAAAAATTATTATCGGTCACAGATAAGCAAGATCTCCTATATTTGCTATTCCTAGTTATTGTCACATGAGGAACACAGAGTTACACAATAATGTTATGCAGAAACTGAAATTCTCCTCCCACTTCCTATTAAATATATCAAGAAAACAACCAACAGATATTTTCTGAAAATACTGTGATATTCAGAAAAGTTAAATCTGGCACAGAAAAAACCCCATAGCAAATCAACAAGAGCCTGTAACAGCACTGATTTGTGAACAGAAAGTACAAACATAAATGTTTTAAAAACTTATCATCTATTAAAAATTATTTTTCCACATAATGTACATAAATTCTACTGTATTATCACTGTTCTGATAATGCAGCCTAGATGAATGGAAGTTGGATTAACTTGTCTTGAAACTGTGTAACTTTACTTAATCAGTTTTTCTTGTTCAAAACTGCTCTTTGTCAAAACACTTTTTTTCCCCCGATGGGATGAAAAAAATGTGTCGAATTATGCTTTCCTCAGACCTTAGCACAGACCACTGAATATGTATCTATACATTCCTATGATTAGTTTCAGGATACTTTCACAGTATAAAGTATTATTTAGTAGTACTGGACTGTGGTTCATTATGAAATAAAAGAAGTTATCTATGAAATCCTTTTTATTACAGCTTATGCCACAAATGCTTTTATTCATCTGAGAACATTTTTTACAGGATTAGCCCAATAATGAATGTTACTAAAAGAATGCAAACAAAGTGCTTGAAGCTTCCAGAATAGCCCTTGGGTCTGAAATTCGCCCAGATGGAAGCCAGCAATTGAAAAGCCTCCTAAAATGACAGGAATACCTGCACACAGCAGGCACTGGCTACTGAGAGATGTGAATCTACACTTAGCATTTCGTTCATGCAATTCAGCATTTGCACAAAGAATCAGCACACTCACTTTACAAAACAGATCTCCATAGAACCTGTGCACTAAGTCAATGGTGTTTGTAAAACTTCTGTTATCAGAAATATAACCAAGTTAAGCCAACATGGTTTAATGGTACTATGGCTGTAGAGAAACATGACCAAGTCTGCTTTTAGCCTTATAGAGGGCTCCTGCAGTCCAGCAGCTACAGAAAACGGGCTCTTCTTTGTCACCTCTTAAAGGCTGCTGAACAATTAGTAGCCTAATTACTCAAAGACAGCTTTAACATATAGGTATTTCCAATAAAAAGTGTTCCCTGAACCTAGCAAAGACCATGTTTTGCATTTTTTTTTTTTTTTTTTTGCTTATTCATTTGAATGGGTAAGCCAAACAACTACTTCTGCAACATCCATCATGGACAGTACTCCTGGTTGTTATGTTAATTAGTCCTTAGACTCAATATAATTTACAACCAATACACAGAGTGGAAAGCAGAACAGCATTTCTTTTAACATGTTATCCACTATTACTTACTGTACAGGGAACAGATCTTCCACTTGAAATTGAGAAGATGAAAGGTATTTGCCCAGATAATCTAAGAGGCCAAGAACATAACCGTTGAAATCATAATCATTTGAAATCAGCATACTGATTTCAAAGAATGTTAGTTATATTGATCCCTAAATTCTGAATTTTCTACCTAAACTGATTTTTTTCCTTTCTCATTATTATCATGCAAATCTCGCACATAAGGTGGCACTACATATGTCTCTGATTTACAATTGAAAGGATCTGAGAGTAGCATTTGGTTTTCTCACATGAAAAGCACTTTTTGAAATGGTACTGAAAATGCTGGTGGACAATACTGAAATTTCACGGCTTATCTCCTCTTACTGTCCCTTGGTGAAAGTGCACAATGGATTTAACAATAGTGGGTATTCTTATATAACTTGTCTCCAAGAAAATAGAAAAGGTCTATATTTCTTCCTTTACCACTGTGCAAGTCCAGGTCTGGTCTTTCATTAGAAAAGCATGCCATACTTCTGTACTCCCATTTTTTAACCTGATTAATTGCTGATTAAAAGCTAACTTAAAACTAAGAATCTTTAAGCAGTACTTCCATTAGGGTTGCACAATTTGCCATGCAAGTTGCAGTTGCTGGAATGAAGAAAAGTATTTAACATACTGGAACTCACTCTCGGTCCACTGAAAGGTCACAGGACAGCAAAACTGGAACATTACTGCTACTCTATTTCAGGGCTAGCAATAACATGCAGAAGATTTTTTATTGATGGATCAGATGGCACTCACATACTTCCACCGTGTGCCAACCCATATAAAATTAGAGACTATCCAACAAGGCACGTGTTGCACCGAATTTCAAAATCAGGCAAACTATTTTTCCATCTGCAAATTGTATTTGGCACCACAGCAAAGAGAAACTAGTATCAGTTTATCCAAAACAACCTTCTGAGGCTGACAGTCACAGCAGTTATCAATACTGCAGGTCATAGGACAAAAATTAAATGGAGTGATCACACTCAGTTTAACTGTGCAGAGTTAATGGAAATTATAGAACAAGATAACCTTAAAGCATAAAAGAGGGGAACACAGTCTTGGACATCAAGTCAAACAAGAAACCCCCACACAGCTTGACTGCTATTCAAGCAGAAGATAATAGACCTAAGTCATAACTGATTTCTCCATTTTATGTAATACAGGGGAGCCAGGGATATGTTCCATTCAACCAGTAATCTGTGTGTTCCAGTCCTTATGTTACATGTAAAAGCAAGCACTATAATGACTTAAATGGTCCTCTTGACAAAATAATTAACAGGGTGCAGGTGAGAACAGGTGTGTACGTTTGGATAACTTCCATATTCCACCAAATGAACTTACATTACTTACTTTACTCTCTAGACTTTACCTTACTCGATATACTTTTTATCTTATATTTTTGTAATACAAGATTAAAACTCCCATGGATTGATTTATTTATCTCAAATTTATATTGGTAACATTTTATTCTTAATGCATATTAGATATAAATATATTATTTGATTAATGATATACTGGAGCAACTACAAAGAAACAAAAAATATCACTTCTCCAGGAAAAATGAATTGTATAGGTCTATGGAAAGAAAGCTCTAAAACAACCTTTCTCTGTGAACCCCAAGAGACATGAAAAAGTTTGAGTGTCTGAGTCCAGGCAATTTGTCGTGAAAGTATTTGAAAACCAATTCAAAAAGTCAGACATCATTTTGTGTTCGTGGATACTATGAAGTCCTTTGATTTACCTGCACTGCCCAGAGGTAGTCCAGACGCAGTTTCAAGTCCACCTGTCTTGAATGCAATGCTAAAGCACAAGAAAACAGCAAAATAGCTAGTATTGGTTCATAGCCACGCATATAAAAGGAGCCGCCCCTTAAAAATAAGAAGAAAATAAATGTGTTATTCCAGGTCTAATACTTAACACTGCACATTTAATATCAGATCCTTAGTTTACAACATATGGGTACCTTCTAATCACTAGCTTTTTCTGAAGAGGCTCATCTGGGCAGGGAGGTGGGTGATATCTGACTGCTGCATCACACCAACATGCAATTCTTGAGGATTTTTAGATGCTATGCATTATTGTAATGTGTGAGCATGTTTTTAATTAGAAAATATAAAAACATGGAAAAGCTCACAAGTTTTATTGAAATTGGGACTGATTGAGGGCTGCTGAAATATGGTAGTTAAGTTTTTAACTGTGTTTTTCTATTCCATATGATAGCTAGACTGCAGAGTGTTCAGCTGGGATACATTAACATAAAACTACAGAAAAATGGGGCAACGGTTACCAGCTCCCAAAAGCTGCTTTCCTGTTAATGGATGTTACTAGATCCTACAATTGCTGGGGAGAAAATTACTGATGTTTTTCTTATGCTCTACTCCTAAGCAGCACTGAACACTAGAGGACAATTCAGAAATAAGTAATGTGTAACTATCTATAGAAAATTACCCATTGCTTAATTTTGCAAGATACCTACCCCACTGCTTTTCTGTAACCACTGAGTTCCAGAATAACTATGTACAAAATTGTAACAAAAACCAGGAGAATAATTTTTGGCAAGGAAGATACACGTAGAAATATTGCCAAGGTGAGAGTCCCCACTACACAGGAAAGGAAAGCATAGTGGGCTGTGTCACATGGAAGTTCATTCATTGTTTTATTTGTTCCACCAGGAGAAATTATAACTATTGAGCTGCTGGAATTGGTATTCCAAACCCAAGGCATGCAGCCAACCTGGAAAAGACAGGAGAGGTGAGAAGGGAAGAAAGTTAAATATTAAATAAATAGAAATGTAGTTGCGATGGAGGCTGACTGTAGTTCATTGCTAACTACAAAAAATACGGCTGTGGAGTTCACACTCAGCTCAATGCTGTATTAAAATCTCCTTTTCCTGCAATGCTCCACCGAGTTTTAGGGGAGAGACACAATTTGTTAATTAGATACCAATAAGGGCATCTAATTAAGTGTGGGCTTAGTTGAATAGTTTCCCTCAATGCTCAAATGTAAGAGATTCTCAAGCCAGGATATTCCTGCAAAATTAAGGAACTTCAATTAACATTTTATTTGGCCATGCAGGTGAAAAAGGTTTTTTTACAGAGCACAGGAATAAATTATCATTTTACTGACTATGTAAATCACATAAAATTCAATTATGTAAATACAAAATAAAACATTTTAATTGAGTGAAAAACTAAACATAACATCTTTTTTCCATCTCACAGCTACTTCTGCTGTCACATATGTTTTAAATGCAAGGACTCATCTTTAATTACACCTGTCATTTCAGTTATCCAAGGAGTTCCATTTCCTTCTTACACTGGGAAATAAATTTTTTTCATATATCTCTTATGGGAAATTTGGGGAAATCTAACCTGCTTTTCCTAAAGACAATGTCATGTACAAATCTCAGAGCCGTTACCCAAGGAAGAGGGGAATTCATGGCAAATAGTGCAAGTCCCTAGAGCTCCAGTTTTAACTGCACTCCAACCTTCACCCCTTACAAGGGAAAAGGATAAGCGTTAGTATAAGTAGGGGAGAGTAGGATGGTAGTGTGAAATTGATTTAACAGGCACCATCACATAAGCCCTGCCTTGTACTTAAGCATCTCTTTTGAAGTGCTTTATAAGACCTTTTTATTTCATCCCGACCACTGACAAGGAAATTTTATAGCATGCTGTAAAGTAACTGACATCCTGAAGGGTGATTAAACCATGTATTTTAGAAGAGGTTGTATTAACTTAGAAAGATGAGACATAATAAATAAAAAATGTGAGTTAAACTCATAATGGGTAACACTATGAAATGAGATTGGGAAAATGAAATTAAAAATCCCTTTTAATGGGATTTTGTTCAATATCCTTAAAAAAGCTTTCATACTACATTTATAAAAAAAAAAAATACACATGCATGCAGGCTTCATCAGTGATCTGGAATCCATCCAGGAAAATATCATCTGCTATACAACCAGTACTGGAACATCAACACCTAGCTCTTCTGACAGATGTGAATTCTAGAGGCATTACTTTGCAGGAACTAATAATTTGTACTGATTAAACATTTCTACTTAGGTTACAAGTTATTTTTGTTCAGGAATGGATTAAGTTATGTGCTAAGTTGTAACTGAATGATCACTCCCTTGTTGGAGGTCAGAACTTCTGAATTCTAATCTGTCTACCACTGTTGTTAAGCATTGCCTTAGGACTTACGATGTCTGTTTCTCATTCTCACTATCCATAAGTGGCAACAATGGTGCTTGTTTCATTTGGTCAAAATAAGGGTCAGACCTGTGGAGGCTGTCATAATTTTAATCTCAATTCCAAATTCAGATACACAGACTTTGCTGAGAAGCTAGCCTGGAATCCCTGCAAAGCTCTATGCATTTTGCACTTATGTCCACATTAGGAACCATATATACATCTGTGTGCTGTTAGGGCTGTGTGTTACTCACACAGATGATGTTCAGGAATTCCCAGAAATGTCTCAACATCAGCAGTTCTTGGTTCCTCTCAGGACATTGGAATACACAGAAAAGGAACCCTCTGCCCAGCCAGTTCATGGGGATAAACTATTTATGATGTTCTCAGGGCAGGTCCAGGGATAAGTGAATACACAAAATACCAAATACAAACTATGGGGGTCGGCATCTCAGCACTGATAATTGCTCATGTCTTATTAATGGTCAGAACACATTGTCAAATTCCTCCAGAGAAGCATGATTTGAAACATCTGCCTTCTCAGCATTTCCAGTTGTGTTTCATGTGCTATCTTTATGTGGATTCTTTCTTTTGAGTACCCTAACATGTTTAATTCATTAGCATTAGCAGCCAAAACGCTAAAGATGAGTGCTAGGAATTTGTCAAGGCAACTGACTGACACATACTTAGGTGGAAGTTTGAATACCATTTGAATTCAAGTTGACCATGTTGAACTCTGCTAATCTACAGTAAAGGAAGCTCAGTTTTCAGAAGTCTTGAGCACATTCACTTCATATAACAGAAGCTCTTTAGACATTAGATGTGAATGGATCATATCAGTAGCACAGTGTAAGCACCTAGTCTTGTTACACAAACCTGTCAATATTTAAAGATCTATCTTTCTGATCTGCCTGGACTAAAAATATCCCCATTATTACACAGAGGTATCTTCTATAAGTTTTTTGCATAGAAATAGTAATCTTGTTTTGACACCATGCCTTGTCTGTCACAAAATATTAGCCATTGAACTAGTAAGCAAGTTTTAAATTTAAAAATGGTTTTCCTATAAAGTACATGACACCAACAGTCTACATGATGTTAAGGTTTGAAATACAAATTTATGTTGGTTTTTGAATAGGTATTATCTGTGTAATTGGCTAATGGCTTTGCCATTCCTAATTCAATACACTGTTTCAGGCCAATGAAAGTTCTAATTGCAGCAAAAGGGTTTAATTTTGAAGAAGCATGCTCTGCAAGTATGAAAAATAAAACAAGTAGGAATTCATCAGATGAGAATATGGCATGTGTTTAAAGGACCTGCACAAGCATGTTCTTTAAACACAATGCTAACTTAAGTGAAACGTGATTCAAATACTCACCACACAGCCTTGAGCCACAGAGTATATTAAGATCACAATAAAAATACACAAAATGGTACGAATTTGTATTGTCAGGCACCCTGGAAAACACTAAAAAGAAAAAAAAAGTATTCATAGATAAAATATTTAAAGTATTTTTAAAGTGAGGTCATTCTTTTTTAGTAGTCTATAAAGAGAAGTGAATAAGAGATAAAGAAATTTCACCTGTACTGCAAAATATAAAATTGCAGTTCTTGCTGTGTAGTAACTGTTATTCACTTGTTAGTGTCTAGGTGTATTGTAATGTTAATTGCAGTTTTTGGGATAATAAATGTGAAATTACTACTGCTATATATTATTCCTCGCTATAATTAAAACTCTTAGAAATTTTTAATTGTGTGTCTACTTATGATGCAAATAATATTCTAGGATGGCATTTGATTTTGCTGTCTTGGGGAAAATACCCAAAGCATCTTTTGCCTTGCAAATTGTGATCCAAGAGAACATACTGTGATAACATAGAATTTTGGAGTGGTCTTCTGCTATAATAGGCAGGTTAAATGCCAGGGTAGTTTTAATTATCGTGACTCATAAAAGCATTGAATTTTTCAGAAACAGCAGTAGGCAACAAAAATATCTAGTGGAATGGAGTCTTGTGAACGTTTTGTTTATCTCTACTTTTACCCTGATTCCATTTGTCACGCTATTAAGTGTTAAGTTCTTGCTGCTATGAAGCCTATGACAGAATGTGAGAGAGGAAGGGTAAGTTTGTCAGGCTGTGCACTTAGGTCTGTTCCAGTCTTTCTGATTAACTCTACTTCCAGGTAAAGCTGCTTTCCTTCCTTTCCCCTTGCACTAAGAATGTTTGGGGCATCTATTATCTACCAGATGCATCTTTCATACCACAGGACTTCTTCTAGTTACTTCAAGAGTCAAGAATACAATCCAAGAAATAGTCAGATTTGAAGTGGGGACTATCCTGTGTCCTTTAAAAGGAGGAAGCTCAGATTTATCAAGGTTGAATTTCACTTAAGGTTAAATGGAGCAAGAAAACACCTGATTTTTGGATGAAAGTCAAGTTTTGAAGGAAAGCTGTTAATTTCATGGGTATCACCAGCCTCAAAAACATAGCTTCAAGCAGGCAGCAAAGTAGTCAGAGAGAGGCTACTGTAGACTTCAAAATGCAGCAATTACAGAAAAAAAAAAAAAAAGGTAAGTATGAATCTACGAATATATTCTGGCTTCAATATAGGTTAAGTCCATGTAAGTAAATGTAGATGTGGATCAATCAATATAATATCAGTAGTAGATTTGTATTATAGATCTGAGTTAATTTTCTACACCAGTGTAAGTAATAGCATCAATAAGATAGATTGGGATACTTGAGCTATATCACCTTTAATAAAACTGAGCATATTGAAGAAAAAGTAGCTCAGATTATAGGAATCTGAGATTGAAAAGCTGTCTCAAGGGACATAGAGCAATTTCCAAAATTACACTATGAAAAAAAAGACTATTTCTGCATTCATTCATCACTATCATACAGTTCTGATTGGAAGGGACCTCAGGAGGCTCAAAAGTACTATCTGTCTTGACCCTCAGAGTCTCGGGGCCATTTTTGCAGAGTTGGTTACTCCTCCTGTGTCATTGCATAGCATTATTTCTTCTCAAGACCTGCACTTTGCATTATACATTCTATATTTATAAGATTCCTGTTTGCCCATTCTGTCAACCTATCTAGGACCCTCTAAATAGTCATCCTGCCAGCTGCTCTCACAAAACTGTAGTCATTTGAAAACTTGACATGAGTATTTGCCATGCCCTTCTCTAGGCTGTTGATAAAAATGTCTGACAGGATCCAGGATAAACTCCTGTAGTATTCCGCTTATTACTGGTTTCAAGGTAAAGTATAACCATAAAGTACTATGCTCTGAATGTGATTATCCCATAGTATTTTACCCATCAAACTGTCGACTTAACTAGATCAGAATCCTGTATACAAATGAGGTGGAACATATGTGGTTTTATCCATATAAATAAAATACAAAATAATTTTGTTTGAAGAAAAAATATGCATTTCATTAATTAAGTTTGCAACCAAATAAGCTGTCTACTGCTTATTAAAGAGATAATACTCATGGTTTGAAGATAATGCTGGATGGTTAATAGGGACAAAGCAAAATATGGATTCAAAAATCACATGCCCTGACACATTCCACAAACAATTTTTTTGGTCTGTGTAGCACATACATGTTTTAAATGTTGATATGCTAGGCTATTGGGTTAAAATGGAAAACAAACCTTTAAAAGATAAGGTATGAGACATGTCTGAATTAAAATTCTGACACTATTAAGATTTATACTTCTGACTTTAAGTCATTCTAAGATTGTATCTGCACTTTCATGATAGCATAGAATTTTGAGCTTAATTTTCTTTGTTTTCTTTTATTTGTGGAATTTTCATTAACCAAATAAGTAGTGTCAAATTACCAAAATTCTAGGTAACTGGGACAGTAAAACATTATTAAAGTAGTTCTATGAGTGAGGCATTTAATGCTAAGGCATGGAGAAGCTGAGTCACTTGTGCAGTGTGAAAGAGCAAGTAAGTGCCATAAGACTGATTAAAATAGGGGAATGATTGTTTTACAACTGTCTATCCATTATCCACACCATATTAATTTTAATTATTATAAGACTTCTTTTGCCACAAAGTTTTAAATTGTGATATTCTAAGGTTTTATATTTATTTATTTATTTTTCTAATGCTGGATTTGATCCTGTATCATATTGAATCTCTGGAGGAATCCGGAATAAAAACAAATTTTCTCAACTGACAAGGAATACTTCTTATGTTTGCACTAGCCCCAGGTAAATGGTATAAAGAGAAGTAACTTGCTGCAAACTTAGTCTGCATTTCTACAATCTATACAGAGAAGAACAGATGATAAACTACTCTGCACTAATTAAAAAAAGAGATCATCAAAGTTACTCCCAAATAATTTTGTAAGTTCATAAATAAGGTTCTTTTCAGTACCTGAAACTCTGCTAATATACTATTTATGTTCCCATGAAAACACATGCTTTTCTTCTGCCAGAGAGCGCTTTTAAAAACTAAAATTAGTGTGTCCTAATAAAAAAAGCTGATTAACTGAGTAGGTATTCCTGATATTTGTCTGAAAAGACTAAATTTATATTAATCCAACAGAGATTCCTTTCCTCAAAACATTAGCCTGTAGATGCTTTATTCTGATCTGGCAGACCTATTTCTCCCCTAAAACAACCAAATGACCTTCTGCATCATTACGGTTGTAAAAATATAGTGCAAGAGAATTAATCATTACTGAAGGTTTTGAAATGGCCAAGGATTGTGTGTGCAAAACATTGTGCTTTACCATCAAAACAGCTACTGTTTTGGCAGGAAAAATTTTGAAAACAGAGGGGACATTGGCAGGACTTTATACCCAGACCACCTGGAATGAAAGGGAGACCTATTGTGCTCTGTAGTCAGAAAGGAGTAAAAGTCAGGTTAAAGCAGTTTATCTAAACACAATATTTAGTGGTAGGTGTTCAGGGAAGATTTAGCAAAAAACAAAGTGTAGAATTATTGGCACTGAGTGCTACACAGCTGTAACGATTACTCATGTAAAAAACCTACTTTCAGATGATTGATCTTTGGTTTTGCAATGTCTAATACATTACTTACTAAGGAACTTTAAACACATAAATTTCAGACTGTGAATCTGTGAAGCATACACTGATGACTTCATATTCCAAAAGACAAACATATCATGGACACCAAAGGGAAGAATAGTCACAAAATCTTAAATCACTTACTTGTACTCGTGTGACATGTAGATACATAATACAAGCCACTAGGAAGCATATGCAGAATACCAGGAGAACAAGAACTACGGTACTCCTAGAATCAAAACACAATAGAAGTAATGCAATGTAACTCAGTACTAGATGAGAACAAACTACAGTTAGGCGTCCTTCTAAAACAGTATTTTATAAACGGTGGACGATGTCCTTCTCAACCTTGCTGTTATACTAACCATCACAGTGCAAATTAAGCAGTGATGTCCACTGCTCTCAAGACTTTGAAATTAGTAAAGGCTTTTGTAAATGGTCCCCACTCTGATGTCAGAAAGGAGATCAAAGAACCTCAAAAATGCAAATGTATGGTAGAGACACTTTCTAATTGTAGGCAATTGCAGAATATTCAGCATGATGAATCTTGTAAGGGGAGTGTGTAACTCAATTACTTGGCCTTGGCAGTGGTGTTAACAGTTACCAAATGCTTTTTCTGTCTAATTTTTCTTTCTCAAAGATTCAGAAATCAATGGTCATTCAATTTAGGCACTTAGCAAGTCAAATAAAATCAGAAAAAACTGCCTTCTAATGAAACAGAAAAACTCCCTCATTTTGAGTCTTCCTCAATGGTTAGACAAATCTTAAGTTTCACAAAGATGATGCAATAATTCTTAAATTCTTAATCTTCCCTCTTCTGATCTATCAAAATAGGCTTGTTCTTAATGACAAGAAGGGTGAAAACCAAGAACTTTCTCCAGAAAACTTCTTTTGGAAAAGTATTTTATGAATATGAGCAAGCTGACAAAAGTTAGTCCACAGTGTGGGTGCATTTGATTTCTGCTCAGGGACAGCCTGGTCCCATGCCAAGGCTGTATGACAGCAGCATAATATGATCTTCACACCTTCTTTTCTAAATTGTGAGAACAAACCAGTCAGTCCAGAAGCCATCTGAGCAATGGATTCAGGCATTTATGTATCAGTGCCCTTGACAATTACTGGGAAAAGATTGTTTATACAGGGTTTCTAACAGCAGAAGTGTGCAATTCTCCTGTTGAGTTTCTAACTATTTGACTTTGATTTCAAATTAATGTAACAGTTCATACTGATACAGGAACTGGGAGAATTCTGTGGTGTAATGTGTGTACCCAGAATGGGAATGTGCCTCCGGGTGTTGTTAGTGTGGACTCTGAATACAAGTACTAATCAAGGCAGGGTCTCATGCCTTTAGAGAATTCCCTTGTATTCAGGATGGTAGCATGCTAGAAAAGAATGCAGTGGACATGTCTGCAACAACATCTTGTAACGCAGCAATAGCTGACAAGTGACAGTAGTGCTGAGTGGGACCCTGACAAACATTCGGGTTGGCATCTAAAAAGGGCTACATTATTTTTTTTAGTAAGTAAACACAGAAACTGACATTAGAAGGGTTCATAGTCAGGGCTTTTAGCAGCTACACTGTGTATGTGCCTTCATAATTGGACAGCTTAGGTTGACAGGAACATAGCCTTACATTGACCACCTCCATCTGGGAATATAAAATGTGTCTATAGTTGAGAAGCTGTTTTGCTCAAATGATAAGAATTGTGAGAATAGCAAGCTTATTGATTCCTGTATATCTATGCAGTAATTGACTTTCCTATAACATTTTCTTGTCTAGATGATCAGCCTCCTCCTTGAAAGATTGTGATATATAACTTCTCCCATTAGGGTAACATATCACAAGCCTGGTATTGGCTTTTGCATTCTCTTGCCATACATATAACTACTTTGGCAATCTAAATAACAGCTTAAAGCTCCAAACTCTGGAAAGAGGGGAAATTTTCCTATACTTTCAAAGTTTTAAATTTTTAAATAATTTAGCTCATGTTTGCATCTGTGTCACAGCAAGGGAAGAGCCCAAGAAGAATTTGGCTATATGAAGCCACCACTCAGCCACTGGAAGAAAGAACTTAGGAGCATTCAGTGAGTGGCTTCTTTAACTAACCCAGTCCATTTCATTACCTTCTGTAGTGATATTCTTCTGGAGCTTGTGTGTCTGTCAGATCACTTCTTAAATTGAATCTCTGCCCATCTGTTTTTAAGTGACAGTATTTTTTTGAAAGGTTATTATATGATTCTTGGAAATTCATTGTAGTTTCAACTACGCTAATACACTTTGTTTCTACTTGTTCAAAACTGTTGTGTACTGCAGTTGTGTCTTATTGAAGAAGAAGGTGAAAGACTTCTTAATCATGCTCCAATTAGTCAGCAGAGTCATTAGTCTGGAAATGATGTAAATGATGACTGAGTTACTTTGAATTCTTTAGATGAAATGTACTATATTACAAATAAGTGTTTCTATTTTATCAAAGTGAAGAAACTGTTTTTCAATCTTTCAACTAGAAATAATAGAATACAGAAGTATTATTCTAACTGGGGATTTGTGAATAGAAAATACCATAATTTAAATGGAATTTTCAAAAGCATTATCCTGTGGCCAGTTCTATTCCCACTGAAGCAGTTATAAAAGTGAGTAAAGTTTATTTTTAATGCTTTGATATTCTAATCTGATAAAAGTTCATTATTCATAATTTTATAACATACACAATTCTATCTACCTCTAGGTTTGAAAGTGGTCTAATTATTTTTTCTTTAGTAAGCACTCATATAGAACTGACAAAATCTGAGGTAATCACTAACTAATCACTCAACAATAGGCATAGGACACCTCCCAAACATATCATTTTATTATGTTTACTTATGTTTAATTAAGTGAAGTCAAAGTTGGACTGCAAGTTATATGTGCATAGCCAAAATACACACTAGGCAGTTTATGTAGAGATAGTGTTGATACCAAAAACTTCAATGAATGCTATAAATGCAGGCCTCAATGCAGCTGGATGGGTACTTTCAGTACTTTGTTCCCATTAAATTCTGCAGGGTTTTTTCTCTGTTGCTATCAATACCTGAAGTACTTAACCCAAAGTAACACAAACACATTTAGAAAAGCTGCAGTAACACCTTTGTTTGTAATGCAGAAATGCTTTCAATAAGTTAGAAATAACCACTGAATGTTTAAATAAACACTGAAATGTATAAATTTCCTCTAAATACACTACTACAAAAGAAAAAAAATATAGTGAAAAATGTCTCCTGTGGACGAATGAAAGAGATAACAAGTAGACTGAGGGGTATACTAACAGAGAATCTCCCATGTGAGGTCCCCATTCTTGTTCCAAAGACTGTAATTTTTGACCTGTGCAGGATGTCTGAGGATGTTCCACTTTGAGTTATGATGGCAAAAGAAAGAAACTTACTGTGGTATTATTAGAAGGTAGACAAGGCCAAATAAGGCAGCTAGAATTAGTGAGAGAACTACAGCACTGGTGAAGTACTCATCCTGAAGCTGGTGGTACTGTTAAAGAAAGGAAGAAGTGAAGACAGTAAGTATTTCATATATACCCAGATACCCACACTTGTCCATTCTCAGTAAGAAAGAACTGTATCCTAAAATAAAACAAGCTCCTACTTAGTTAAAAACATGATGGCTTAATTCACACTGAAAAGACAGATGAGGGAAATCTACACAAGATTTTCCTTGACAGACTTCTCTTTCACCTTGTAACTAGTTAAAACTGGTTTAGGCTCAGATATAAGTTCATCTTTTTGAGAAAAAAAGTCAGCCACTTTGTGCCAGAAGGGGGTGGCCCTCCCTCTTTTACTCATCACAGTAAAAGGCCATAGACTCCCTGGTGCTGCTTTCAAAAAGTCCTGTCACCTTAGCTGCTCAGGACAGGACTCTAATGAGTGGACTTGGAGGCAGGTACTAATGAGATAGATACATGGGCTCAGTTTGGAGCAGGTACTGTTCCTGATTCCACTAAGCTACAGTATTAACAAGAGGAAGCTTTCTAGGGGTCGAAACATGAAAATGTTTTCTCAGAAAGACCCAAAGTTCAATATCATTTACACCCAAAGAGACTTTTTATTTTGAAAGAAAAATGTTACAGTCTAATAATAAATTACTTTGGAAACTTGAATCCAAAATTTATGCTTCAAACCTTAAAAAAATTTGATCCAGTATGGCACACAGCCTTCTAACTTGAAGCAGAAGTGACCTGAAATCTTAGACTATATAGTGACTTACAGTGGAAAAATAAATGTTAATGCCAAATTAATTCAAAACCATACCACTTTTGTTTTTCAAACACATAAAGGCTGTAGATACAAATAATTTGTATTCACAAAAAATACTCCTACAAGGTAGGAACAATTGTTAATTGATATGCATGCTTGTACAGTCTGAGAAAATCCCCTGCTTTCAGCACTGCCACACCGGTATAATATTGCAACGTTGTCCAGAGAGTTAATGTTTGGGGATTTTTTTTTTTTTTAATTTTCTAGAATTTCTGGATCAATACTTATCAGGCTACCTATTCATCTTTTTGTCAATAACACTTCTGCAAAGCATATGACTGAGTAGGTAGACACATTGCAATGAGACAGCATTAAACAAGCGATTGATTTTGGAGAAGGAAACGAAAGACCAAAACACAGGATATATAACATGGGGCAGGATCCTGACAAGTAGGACAATACCTATCGTGGCAATGGTCCCCTGAATGGGGAATAATGAGCATGGACTCCATGATTTCAGAAGGCTGATCAATTGCTTTATTAAGCTATACTGTATTATACTATACTCTTAAGAAACTTGTAACCCTTACAGACAGTCCGATACAGCATTAACCTAACTGGTTAATCAATCCAAACACCATCCAGTGTCCAATTAAGATACCACCCTTTTCCAATCAATCTCCATAAACACATTCCACATGTGCACAAAAACAGGTGCAGCAAATGGAGATAAGAATTTTTTTCGCATTTTCTTTGAACTTTTTCACAGCTTCTCAGGAAAATACTGGGAGAGAACTACGTCTCTCTCTGTTCAGAGGATATGTGATTACCACAAATACCAATCTTTCTTTTTATCCCTTTCAAGCGTTTCCATAAAGGTAGAGATAACGTCATCCTCTTAACTGAGAGACAGTCCAGTGCAGTATTTAAAAATAGTGAGTGGAATTTAAACATTGCATGAAACCCAAACAAAAACCCTAATGCTAGCTGGCTTATGGTCAGTGAAATCAGTAAAAATAATTTTAAAACTCCCTTACTTTATTTTCACGCTCAGTTTGCTTATACTTCAGGGTAATGAAGTTCAAGTCAGCCATCTCAGACTCAGTTTGCCGGGCCTCTATCAAGCGGCTGATGTATCTGTTCACTCGAGTTCCCGGAGTGTTGTATACAATATTGTTAGAAAAAGAGGAACGATTCCTGAGTTTTTCAGAGGCTGTCCTTAATGCTCTCCTCTGTAATATGGATGAAGAAAGAAGCACAGATTTTATTAGCACTGAGATTTTACAATGCTGTTCATATTACTTCAAGCTCACAGAGAGGATGTGGAATTCATTAAGCAGAGCAACTACAAAAGACAGAGTTCTTATCTCTATGTTAATTCACCTTTTTAAAATTCCTTACCTGAAATCCTGATATCATTCAAATCAAAGAGAAAACTCCTACTTCATTCCAAGACTTTAATCCGGAAATTCTTTTCACATATGCCCCTGATACTCCTCTGCCACTGAGGAAATAATCAGTTTGTACCCAGTAGCATTATTTTACCTTGCAAAATTGTTTTATATTGGTTTGTTTTCTTGACAGAAGACATGAAGCTCTGGACATCTTGAAGACAAGATAACTAGGCTCTTCATTACACAAGAAAAGTCCTACTGTCTAGGTAACAATACGTGTTTCAAAAAGATAGTTTGCCTTAAAGTCTTGAACAATGACCACGACCACGTGTGACTACAGAGAGTCTGAAATCGCAAGTGTTGTTATCTTTAACTCACCCAACTGTCTGTCTTGTTAAGATCTCTTGAGTATGCCTTAAGTGCACTTGCAGATCCAGATAGAGCCATCCAACAAATCAAAAGAACTAACCCGTGCCTAACTGGTTCCTCCAAGGCTAAGACAGCACAACTATAAGGTAATTACTCATAGTCCTTTCCAGTGGAAAAGATTTATCAGCGAGCATAACTGAAAGGGATTTTAAACAAGCTGTCTCACTTTTCACAGAGAGAATTCAGTACATAGTGAGCAGCATCTCAGCCACACTGGTGGCATCCTCCAGTTGAGGGCACTTTAATCTAAACCATTATGGCTAGATCTGTTCTGTGCCTGGACAGGGGTCAAGCCTACTTCCCAGAAGAATTTTGACAGCAAAGCTTAAGCAAGTTCTACTACTTCTGTAAAGTTAAAGGAATATTTTTTTATGTAGCATCTGCAGAGCTCAAGACAGTTCAAAACATGAAATATCAAGTCTACTCAGAATATAAGTAGAGTCTGCCAGAAAGATGTTAAAGAAGAAAACAAAATTTCCCTCTTCAGAATACTCAGTCCTAAATACCCACTCTAGAGGCTATACAACAACATATTCTTTTGATCCAGATGGTTAAAAAGATGGTGATCACTATCTAAGTAATCTTGCAGGAATAGCAGTTTCTTTTTTTATTTCACAAGAAATACTTAGGAGTACCTCATCAGTGAACAAATTGTGAACTCTTGCAGTTGATTAGCTTACATAGCTTATTAATATTATATTATATTATATTATATTATATTATATTATATTATATCTAAATCCTTATAAATAGTGAGAAGGGTTATCTGCTGACTGATACCTTACTTTTCTGTTTGAGAAGAAAAACGGACCCTTGTAAAGACAAAGTAGCTTTTCAAGCCTTGCTTTGCTGGCTTTATATGTAGACAGGAGGTTACACCAGCAGTAAACATTTATAAGGTCACATTTTTCTTCAAGCTATCAGATCCCATTACCTGGTAAATTGTCTTTGGTGTAAGAGCTAATTGTTTCAACATAAAAAATAATCTTAGGAACACACATTGATTAGAGAGCTTAAATTGGCAACCAAATTTCAGTGTTTCTAAACCGAGAGAAATTTGTTTTATTGAAAAAACATTTGTATCAGTAATTTGTAAGGAAATTGAGTGCTTTTTGGAAAATAATAGGAACAGGAATTTCTGTGTCAGAAGTAGACAATTTTGCTCTCAATAAACTATAATTAGTTAACATATATATTGCATTAGTTACAGCAGATATACATCTTCAAGGATTTTTTACAATTCAAATTTAAGCCTATAGTATAACAACAGGGAGGAGGAAAACAGTATTTAAATAAATGTTTCTTTGCATTAAAACCTGAAATGAAGGTAGATGAATATGGGTGTTATTCTGATATATGGAATAAATTTTCTTATGTATTCTGCCATATTGAAACAGGGTTAAAGATTCTATTCTCAATAAAAAAGCTGTTTCTTACATATAATTATTTCCTCTAGGTCTCTTATTTTTACCTCTACCATTATTTTGCACAATTGACTTACATATGATCAAGATCCGGTATTTATGTTTCTCAAAAACGCGCTGGCTTCAAAGCCTTTAAAGACCCCACATGTTTTACTTTATTTACATGATTTGTGTGCTGAAAACTCTAAAGAAACCCTACATTGTAACACAGTGTATTTATATTACCATCATATAATACAAATCCATGATGTCTTACATAAAAGATACAAAAAGCCCAGAACAACAGTTTCTGCTACTGATAGCATTGTAGAACTTCAATGCCGATGTTCTGGCATGAAAAAATTTCATCAGATCACTAAGAAATCCACATGGGTATTTTCTGTGTATATTACCATATTTATACATACATGTACACAAGACACAATGTAAAGTATTGCATATCCTTCAAAGAATGTGTAGGGTTTTTTTTTTCAAGTATGCAAACATAGCACTACATCCCAATTGGAAGGCCTTGTACATGGCCAATTTCAAAATTAAATCTGGAGTTTCTGAAAGTCTTCATGGAAACTGTTTTTAAAAGGAACTAATTGACTTTTCTCCCCCTTTTCTGCAGACAAAACACAAGCACATATAAAACTCAAAATATGAAAGTTCAAATTCTTTCTGAAAGTAAGATTTAGACTGAGACTTCAATAAATGAAAAAAAAGAAAAAATATGAAGCAATCAGTCAAACTGAATTACTGATTCCAGTGCTCACATGCCACCACTCAGTGATGGAGTGACCAGTGTAATATTGCCACCTGCTGTCAAAGAAAATGGAACGAGCAACTGCCACCATTTTATCCATAAATTTACAGGTAGGTTCATATGCAGAAAAGAAGCAAACCAGGCTACTAGTATGTAAAGAGTTTTGATGTATGGAATTACCAGGCATCCAAGAAAGTGGAATTTATATCTGTATTAGGAACTTTTATGTTTAGGATATGTATTATGGACAAAGAGGGGTTTTGTCTAATCAGTTGCCTTTCATATTTCAGAGAACTATCTGGAGAAACAAAATTATTCTGTTGGTTTGCATTTGTCACCATCAACTTCAGACTGGGATGGACAAAAGATGCAAAAGAATATATGTTTAAAAGAATGGAAACAGCCTCAGAAATTCCAGCACCTGTGAAAAAAGCCCTTAATAGAAGCCATATAGGACACCTATGCTGGCTTTTCCAAGAGCAGCTCCAAATGTGAGGGCTTTTATAATTGAATTTGGTTTTTACTGTGGGAATTATATTTTTCTAGCTCCAGCAGGAACATCATAATCTTTATCAGTTCATAACATCATCCCCTATGTTCTCAAAGATGGTCTGCTTGAGGCAGTCCTGGAATTGATGCCCAAAGAGTACACTTGGCCCACATGGACTACCTTATCATCATCCTCACACGTCATGACGTTGGAGAAAGGGATCTCCGCTTTGAACATCTTGCGACAGTGCATGAGCTGAACAAGCAGATAGCAGACTGTCTTGAACTTCATTCTTTTGGCAGGCTTAATGTCTGAGAGAATCAGTCCAGGAAATATCTGTTGGTCAGAAAAATAATATTTATAACAAAGACATTGCATTCCCATGCAGACATAAACACTTGCAGGCATTTGTACCCCCTCATGGTCAGAACAAAGTAATACTCTAGTCAAGAAGCAATGTTTTTTGATAAACATCTCACATTTGCAAATGCGAATTACTTCATCTTTCTTCCACATGAGATGTAAAGAATCTATCAAACAGACTTGATGTAAACTCATACTTAACAATTTGGAACTGTTCTTTTCTTAGAAATGTGAGCTATAAAAAAAAGTGCATTAATGACAGACTCATAAAAGAAGCAATATTTGCATTTCTTTAATATTAAAATAATTTTTGAAAATACAGGGAAAATAAGGAGGCAATTAGCATTTTTATTAATTGATGTTAAAAATATATAATTTCAGTCTTTGTTCCTTATTTTGTTACTTCAGCCATACGAAGTGCATTAAAATCTGAAGAGAATAACTTTTGCTTTAAAGATATATCTATATAGATATATATATATATATGTCTTAAAAGGAGGGTTTGAGGCATTGAGGTTATAAGTCACATCTTATTTCTACAAAGCAAGAAGAAACACAGAAATACTCTCAAAGGGTTAAATATAATCTATTCCTTTTACCATGGGGCTCTCAGTTCAGCAAGGACATATATTTCCTTGGTTAACTCTTAAGCATGTATTTAACAACTGCTGACTTCAGTAAAGCCCTAGCACATGCTCAGCTGCTTTCTCAGATCACGATATTATATCCTCCATTTTTATACCAAACTTATTCATCCTTCTGGCATGTGGAAAGTGATAATGAGAAACATGGCAGGACTCCATGCCTCCTCAGTATGTGAATTCAAGCTTGTAAAATTTCTTCTGGATCAACAAAATAAAAAAGTACAGGGGATATGGTCCTTTGTTTTCCTAGGTACAAAAGACAGCAAATCACTTCCAAAAACTTTATTCAAATGCTACTAAAGTCCACAAATGACAATGAGAATTTGCTGTGCATTATTCACAATACTATGATTTACTAGAGAAGTTTACATCATCATTTCAATGATCAAAGAATGAAGGAAAAACCTGAAAGCATTTGTTTAATGCATGTTTTCTTGGACAACTAAATTTAGACGGGCAGGGCAAATGACACTGATTATATTCTGAATGGCATCTCAGATATTGGCTTATTGTTATGTTTAATACATACAGTCATGCACTTGCATTTTCTGGAAAATCAAGGTTATACATCACTGAACTTCCAATACTTTGTTTAGTCAGTTACACAATGGCAATGAAACACAATAATGACCTCAGTGTTGCACTTGTTATTTTTTTCCTAGCAGCCATGCTCTCAACATGTGACAGGCTTCAAATGTGCAAAGGCACCCAGGTGCTTTATTGTACACTGGAAGACTGGCTGAAGCCAGTCAGCATCACTGCACTACCCTGCACAGTCAGCAGCTGAAATCTGAAAGGACATTTGTGTATCTAGTGCATAGTCACTTGTGTAAGTGGTAGTTTAACAATAGCCTGTGTGAAGAGATGCCCAATATGAACCCTTTCTTTCAAGGGCTTTCTGGCAGAAGACTTACCACTGAATTGTATAGAAGATACTGTACAAGGATATTCACATACTAATCATCCTTTAGGTATTCCTAAGGACACCAAGTAGATAGTTGTTAGGTTGAGCATAGCAGATATGATCAATTTTTGAGCTACAATTCCCAACATCCAAAACATACATTTTTGAGAAGTATTCCACTTACAAATCTTCCTAATATAGCCATAATTCACCTAGAAGTTCTACATATTTTACAAAGTCTCTCTATCAACATTATGATACAACAAAAAAGAGAAACTTTTTTGAAACTCCCTCCAGTTTTGCATTTAATTTCATTTTCAGAAATTTACATGTGGACCATATCTCGAGAGATCATTAACTCTTTGCTCAAACCTTTCACAGTGGACACTGCATTAATTAAGTCAACAATTTTGATGATTTTAAATAAATGATGATTTTAAATAAATTCAGAGACTCACAAAAGCTTCCTAACAACCTTCATTGTGGAAATGCTACACTATAGATACAAGACTGGCAAAGAATAGGTAGAGCATCTTAGTAGCAAAAGATCCAAGAAAGTATGATTGTGAAAGGTTCATGATTATATCCTCCTACAAGGATTTGAAATCCTATGAATAGAGAAGAATTTAGACTTTCCTCCATGCAACTTTCTTATAACAGATGCTTTTCTCAGAAGAACCTGCAACTTGAAAACTTGGAATGGGCTCCAAACTGTGGCCCTGCCACCAACATGACTTTTCTCCAACCACATGTTTTTATTCAGTTTCCCAACTTTATCTTCAAATCAGTATGTAGAACAGTTTTAGCTCTTACCATCGACTGGTTTCTTTTAGCTTAGAAATCTTACAAGCAGATAATACACCAGCAGTATACACCCTTTATGTGTTGGAAATATAGTGAATTTTTTCCAGCTGTTTCAGAGTTAAATAGGAATTTCAGCTCAGGTCACTGAAAAAAATGGAGTTGTGTGAGATCCCCCTTCAAAGAAAAACAATGACAAACTGGAGTGAGGTTAGCAAAGGTTTACCGAAACAATTAGGTTTTCAAGTGTACGACATGCAAGAACCTGAGGGAATTTAACTCATTTAGCTGGAAGAAGAGAAGGCTAAGGAGGGATCTACTTGCTTTCTTTAACCACTTAAGTAGTAGTTGCAGAGAAGACAGAGCCAGAAAAATCCTGAATACTACTCAGAAAAAAAAACAAACCAAGACACAATGAATAGAGTCTGTAGCAAGAGAAACTCTGATTTGATGCAAAGAAGTTTAGCTGTGAGGATGATCATGCCTCAAGAGGCTGTCAGTCAGGGAAACACTCAGCACTTTGACTGCAAAGCCAAGCCCTACTTTGAGCAAGGAGGTTGACCACTTGACCTCCAAAGGCCCCATCCAAATTCAGATGGTGAGCAGTACTATGAATATTTGTGAGCACATGTACTGTGTAGCAACTGTACTTCATGGCTGGCCAAGAACACAGCCACTCAAAGGACACTGCATACACACAAATTGGACACACTGATAGTTCTCAGCAGATCCATATAATTTTATTTATAATTTTTGTTGATTGGTTGAGATGTTTTTTAGTTGGTTTGTTTTGGTTTTTTTGTTTTTTTTTTTTAATCCAGTGGTTTCAGGACATTTAGATTAGACATTAGAAATTTAGACATGTAGATTCTGCACTGGGACGGAGGATTTTTCATTCTACTACTATATATACACAATATCTATAATACAAAGGAATTCTCTCTCATCTTCATCTCACAAATCATATCCCTTTTTTATTCTTGCTTTTACAACAGAACAACACTTTTGACACAGTCAACTCAGTGGAATATTTAAGTAATCTCAACTTCTGCTCTAAGTCTATGATAAAACCAAGAAATGCAAAACAGTCTGTTAAAACAGACTTAAAAAACCCTCTCTGAATGAACAACTCAACCCCAGCATCTTTCACTCTGCTTTTCCTCTGATCTTGCTCCAGGCCAGTATTACAAGAAAGCTGGACTGCAGCATTCCCATTCCAGCTCATTTTGTCAATGTATTTTACTTTCTCATGTCTTTTTGATCCTTGGCATCATCTCCAATTCTGTTCACTGTTCATTTAGGTCATAATTTTAGGAAAGGTTGGTTGTTTGCTGCAACACAGCTGACAAATAAGATTAAGAACTGGACTTTTCTAGCAGAGAACTCTGAAAGCAGGCAGGACTACATACAGCTTTGTGGATGCAGAAAACAAACAAGCACTGACTCAAATCCTTTTTAAAAACCCCCATTGATTGAATGTCATGTAATATTATGATAGTTCTTAACTGGTGCTCATCTGAGATTCTCAGAAGTGTCAGCAGACTGTTATTTCCCTGACTATATTCAACCTCAGTGCATAAATTGGCAAGGGAAAGAAGATACTTATGTCATTCAAAACACATTTACAGAAAACATAAATGCTGTAGCACTGTGTCTGTTGTATGTGATTTCTATCTTCAGGCAGGCAGGAGCATGTCTCTTGGTGGTAGTATTTGTTCCATTATTATCTTCAAGACATTTTGTCCTAAGATAGATGAGCACATTTTTTTTTCTTTTTGTTCCATCTTCCTATAGTTAAAATCATCAGACATTTTTTTCTACTGCCCTTATGATACATTTTACTTCTCACACCTCAGCTATCCAATAAGAAAGTGTATTAGGGATTTTACCGGCAAATATAGCTTCTATAAGACTAAATTTTAAAATTCAGAATAGTGTAACCACTTTCTCGACACAGATGTAGAAAGAGTTTTTAGCAGTTGTAAAGGCAAAACCAATGTCTAGGAGATTGACAACAGAAAAGTCTTCTACCAGTGCCCCACATCTTTCCTTGTAAAGATTCCACATTTATGGAGGAAGAAAAAAGAGAAAACGATACTAGAGCATGTAACTAATTCTATCACTGACAGCCCAAACTGCAAGCTTTCACACTGATGATGATGCACTAGCAACTTCATAGCTACAGCAGGAGCAATCCTGAGGATGTAGAGCAGTACACTCTGCAACACAGTGTTCTTCTGTTTGTGTTTGCTGGTTAGTAACACAAGCAGTTTATTTCCAGTGTTTGAGTTTGTTTATTCCAACAACACAAGTCTCAGGCACAGAACAGCCCCTGTCCAGATACAAGTTAGAGCTTCCACTGAATGGCTGTGTGCCTATCTGTTAAATCGGCTCTGCTAAGGTATATCTAGGGTATATCTGAAAACACCCAAATCTGAAACACCCAAATTATGCATTCAACTCTCTAGTTAAATTCCTTGGAAAAAGCTGTGACCCACTAAGCAGAAATACCACCCCTGTACTCTCACAGTCATGGTAGCAGCAGCAGCTAAAAGTAGCTGTCACTTGGCAAGAGGAAGTCTTCAGTTTGTGCCCAGGACTGGTAAGCATACAGTCACTTAAGT